TGATAATGCTCAGCTGTCAATCCTGGTCTTCTTATATTTGTTCTGCATAAATCATTCCTCCTCCTTGAGTTGGCAGAGGACTTGGGGATTCACTGCCTTTTGCCTTTTACTTTCTTAAAGAAAGCAATATTTTTTTAGAAAGATCATTTTTCTCGTTCCTGCTACCTTCCCAAAGTCTTCAGAAGCAGCATGGCTTTTACAGAATTTTTTTTTTTACCATATTTAGGGAAAGCATGTATTCAAGTCAAGATTCCTCAGGCTTAGCCCTTCCGATGGTATGGAATTTCAGAAATCCCCAGAAAAATATCTGAAAGTCAAGGAAATGTGCAGCTCTCCCAGAAAATAGCAATGCTTATCCTTTAGCGACTGTGTATAAGGTTTTTTTTTTAAATTAAATATGGGATGGAGGGAAAGAAAAGATTTAGAAATGGAGATTTCGTATTTTGCTCCCTTAGCAATCCAGATCTGGATTCTGCTACTCCTCCCACTCCATCTGCGGATTCCTTTTAAAAAGCCATTTGCACAAATGCTCTTTGTGAGAAAGGTATTTTACTAGCTTGGTGCAGTTTGTTCCCAGGCTCTAGAGCAACATGAAATCAATTCTCAAATAAAATAAAATATATACTGTAAGCATTAAAGTATGCACAGTTTAAGCCAAGAGAGAGACTGCAACTCCAGATCAAAGTCCTATACACTTATGGCTCCCCACCCCAATAATGCTCCCATCCTTCCCTATTTTCTTTCCTAAAACTACATAATTGTTCAACTAAAGAAAACATTCACATTTATTTGGGGGACTCTGCATTTTCATTCCCACCCTGCCTGCCACACCCGGAACAGCATTTGCTGCTCAAAAACGAGCCTTTTCTTTTAAAAGTGCTTGGAAAAAGAAATTGCTCGATATCACATTATAATGTTCCAGGCTGTCCCCACACTTTCAGTGCTTTTCAAACATAAATAATACATTTTAGACGGAGAGCGGGCCCTGCGATGGGATGGCTTCCATTGCCATAGAAAAGGGTGGGGAGAAGCCGGGGGGGGGGGGAAAGCACTTGGAAAAGATTGCATTATTTATGGGCAGTTCTTCCTGTCTTCAGACCTATCCCAGAGGCCTTGTCAAAGGCCATTGTGCACAAAAGAAGAATAATCTTTTCCTTTGTAGGATATTCCCTCATAATTAGATGGTGCCACTTTTTCCCCTTGTAACGTTTGAGGTATTCAGATGTTTTGCCTTTGCCTTAGCTGCTCTTCCTGACAGTTTTGCAAATTTGAGTGTTGACAGATTGCAAAGCTGCAGTGGGCTTTCAGCTTTCTGCATACTTGGAAGGAACATAATGAAAGGCCCTGTTAACCAGGAACAGTCCAATTTGGACTGCAGACTAAGCCAAAATAGACAGTCAGCAAAAGAATCTTCCATCAACTTGGAGCTCTTAAGTTCAGGCTGAGTGAATCCTCCACCCAGTAGATGGGGATAACTGGGCTTGTAGTTAGTGGTAGGATTCAAAAAAAAATTACTACCAGTTCTGTGGGTATGGCTTGGTGGGCATGGTGAGGCTTGGTGGGCGTGGCAGGGGAAGGTTACTGCAAAATCCCCATTTCCTCCCGATCAGATGGGATTCGGGAGGCAGAGAATAGA